CCTCAACTTTACCAGCCAGCATTTCAGTGACTGGCAATTCTTTTAGTAGTTTTCTAGACACATAAGTTTAGCCATCTTCTGAGGCTACCTGGGTACATCTCATCACCCTAATAATTAGTTCCAAGTTTGGGGAGGTGGTAGGAAAAGTGGAAGAGGAGATTCCTGAGCTGCCAAATCTTTGAGTTAGGCCCCCTGCTCAGAGATAGGTAAACCAGATCAGATAGTTAAATGTATCATGAAATAATTGTCAGTTCAAATAATAGTTGGCAGGTCCAACAGGAAGACTGTACAAACATTTTCTACCATGTCACTCCCTCACATATCAAATCTTTCCCCACCCAAAAAAGCACTACATGGTTGTTCAAAAGGCAAACTGAACAATTGGGCAGACCTGAATATTCAAATTAGGGATCAACTCAACTGTTGTGTACAGTATGATAAAACAAACTCTTCCAAGCAGAACAACATTGGAAGAGAGTGTCCAAGGACCAGAGTAAGGGATACACCTGCATCAGTCTAAAGTGATCAACGGGAGCTAACTTGATCTCAGTCTAATCCCCCCATCCCAAAATTATCTCACAGTGCCACTCAAAAAAGGGTTGGTGAAGCATGTTAGATTGTGTCTACGGTAAAACTGTTGGTTGCCTTATGAAGAAAGCACTGTTTTTAACATTGAACAGCCTCCTTCTTGATGGGTTGAGACAAATGGAGGACAACAACATGGAGACATATCAAAAAATATGTAAATTGCTGAGGCATGTAGATGTCATAGTTAGGCACAAGTGGGCAAGGTGCTGAGACAATGGTGAATGGCATAATAATGCTCATTTTCAGTGCACTTGGCCTAAATTACCTCTGTATGTGCTATCATGATCAGCCAAAAAAATGGGAATGACTTTTTAGCATGTCACTCAAAGAATGTTTAATTTATTGCTCCCTTTCCAAGCCAATGTTCCCAAATTGAGACATTTATGATGATGAATGCTAGAGCTTTTTGGAATAATCAGTCAGGATCCCCAACCTGAATAACATGCAAAAAGAAGATATTGATAACACAATAATAGTAATGAGAAAAGCTAAGAATTAAGGAATTGTATGTACCCATACCAACCTCATTCATAGTTAAGGACCTGACTCTTCATTCCATACAAAGTTGATAATTCTGAATTTAAAGAGAACAAGTGAAGCTTTTTAGAAATTTAAATTTTGTACATATACTGGGAATGTCTTCATGGTATAGTTTTATTTCCATAGTTTGTAATGTGGTGTTTTTACATTTGAATTTTAAGCTACTTCGGGAAGATTAATATCCAACAATTTTGCAAGCAGGTTTTGTTCCCAAATTGGAAAAATTATGCCATATGGTGGAATTAAAATTTGATTCTGATTTGAGTACTATCTACAAATATCTATCTTTAAATGTGTATGCCTCCTGCTAGTCTGTGACCTGTTTGGCATAGAAATAATTCTTTACAGTATGTAAATTCACTTAGGTTGTGTATAATTATTATTATTATTAGCTTTTTTAAAGAAAGAACAAGGCTTTTCTTTCAGAAGGTCTTTTGTGGCTGGGAAACTATTTCATTGTCGCTATGATTTTTATTAGAGGTGCTCCATAGGTGAAATCCTTTTAGAACTGTTTTGCAAACCACATTCCCTTTTAAAAAATAAAATGTATTCATTTAAAATATTAATATTCTACCTCAAGGATCAGTGACCTTTGTGTTTGCTTGCTTTTTTTATTCCAACTAAGTATCAAATATGACTCTGTAACATACAAAGGGTGCAATCTTACACACACACACACACACACACACACACACACACACACACGTACTTATGAGTTATACAGCACAGCACTGAATTTGGTGGCTTGACTATGAAATATTGTGAAAGAATAGTTCCACATACCGCAGAGATTGTGATTCATGAATAAGGTAATGAAAGGATGACACGATTTTCACTAGTTTTTTCTACCCTAAACAGTCCACAGCATTATCCAAATAATTCCCAATCTTTGAGACAAGTTTTTGGTGGTTTAAGAGGGCTGTAGGAAATCAAATAATGAACTAATATTAATTTACCGCATAACTCAACTTCCATCAATGATACATTATTTAGGACTTCCAGATGATGTGATATTTATTTACACTAAGAATTATGCTGATATTCTTTTCATGGCATTTTTATTTGTAGATGTCTCTTCCGAATAGATGCATGTATATTTTAAATGCATACTATAGCAATGAACTAGAAACCATAACTGTAACAAAATACCATTGCTGTGTCACTGGATAAGCATGATAATGGATAAAGTATTGAATAATATAGAATAGATTTGGGTTCAAATGTCTGCTAAGCCATAAAATTCTTTGGAAGAATTGGAACCAGTTTATATGCATTCAACTTCATCACAGAGATTCAAATGCTTTTCATACAATACCCTTTCTACTTTAATTGTTCAACAAGACATTCAAAGTGAAAAGTTATTTCATGCTACAGCAAATATTTTTCCTATATTAAAAATGAAATTATATTGATTTGTTAAATTTGGGATACTTTTATATTATTGTGTGACTGAAATAGAAAACAACATAATTTTAAAAAAAATCCAAGGAAAGAGTCTTATTACAGTAAAGTACCTACTTTTTGATTGAAGTCAACTTTTTGGGCAGGTAATTTTAATCTCATTTCTGGAACTGAAACTAAATCTAATTTCAATCATTTTGTATCAGATAAAGGAATATTATAAACAAAGACAAAAATGTAAGGACAGTTCTTATAATGACACTGGCAGAAATTCTTTTTACATAGGAGTTTCATAAGATAAATTATTTCATGAAAAGCTGTTTTAAGTTAAAAACTCCCATAACTTGATTAGGACTTGGTAAAGACCATACAGCTATGAATAGCAAACATGAGATACTACACATTCTGAACCTGAATAAGAAACTGACTTTCATGCTTCCACATCTATAAACATCAGGTCTTATTGTTAAAAAGAGATCAGACATTATTTATCACTTAAATTGTAAAGAAAAGTTTATTATTAGGCATCAAGAACTTCACAGTATGCAATAGATCTCCTACAGAAATGAAAGCTTAAATTACATCACTGTACATAGTACAACGAACATAACTTATGCTTCCTGAAAATATCATCTATAAACACTATATATAATATATAAAGTATCTGGGTATCTTATTTATTTAAGGAAGTAAAACTTGCTTACTGATTTGTTCTAAAGTTCATACATTTTGCTTAGCATATGTTTAAGATAAAATTGCATTAAATACAAAAAGGTTCATTTAAAAAAGAAAAAATAGTATTGGAATGCTCTAACCAAATGTATATGAACGATCAGTTCTACTATGGATCCTTCCAAAAAAGTGAAATCCACCAATTTCAGAGCCATTGACAAAACATTTTTAGAACTGAGCATTGATTAATATCACAATTAAATAAATTAAATTACACTATATATATAGATTTATTTCCCTATCACAGGTTTAGGAAAATATATTTGCATATGGATAATCTTCCAGAACAGTCAAGGTGGATCATTTTTTTATGTTATCGACTAGTGCTGGTTACTTCAGCAGCAGGATCTAATTGGTATTTTACTCTGTGCCTCAAAATATTACTGTAATTGATACTCCCATATCCAAATTATAGTGCCATAGACTTACTATGCCACATATTACAATTATAATTGCACATATTTTGCTCTGGCAATTTAAAAGATAGTTTAATAAAACAGGAAGTGGTGTTTTGAAACAAAATGGAAAACTAAATTATTTCACTTTTTTCCCCTGATGTATTTTTATAGCCTGCTTTACGAAGTGGGAGTACAAATACAGCAATTAACAGTTAAGAGGAGACATGCTCTTCTGAAGTTTGCTTTGCTCCTGCTTAATGGAATATGGAAATTAGTGGGAAGAGACACTTGCCCAAAATACGACGTGAGAGTTCAAATGATGCAAGCCATTTACTTAATGAAGGAATTCATGAGAAGAGGGATGGAGGAAAAGCGGATGAAATGCCCGCAACCCTATTTACCAAGGAAACGGGCACATTTCTAACTCTGTTGGTATAGGAAGAAGCCATAGGTTCGAGTCTCCACAAGTTAAAACCACCTCGAGGCGGTAACAAACTCTTCTGCAGCCACCACAGACAGCAGCCATACAAGCAGGTGCATAACGGGAGCGCAAATGGAAGAGCGTTTTGCTAAGGGAACTCACGCTTCACGCTGCAATCTTATCCTGTTCCTAACGTACTTTCCCCTGGCTCGTAATTTGCTCAATAGGCTTACGCGTGCATAAAAGTTGGAGTCGCTAAGTAATCACCCTCGTCCGATCCCGTTCAGCTCTTACGGCCCCGATTCTTCTGCTCAGGTGGATCCACTTGCGGTCCCCACCCAAACTTTCCCCTTGTTTCACCTCCAGTTTTCTACTCATCCTTGTCTTCCGCCGCCCTCGAGACCTCGGGGAGCCTCAACACCCACCTCGGAGTTTGTCTTTGGCGCCGCGGATGGAAAGCAAGGGGTCGCGGGGAAGACACCGGCGCCTTTCCCTCTTCCCCGATGCTTCAGCTCCGGAGTCCGGGCGGCGCTTCCTCCCCGCTCGCTTCGCCCAAAAAAGAAGCTCCCGAGCGCTACGAGCAGCAGAGCCGGCAGCCAGGCAGCCGCGAAATGAGGCGGGTGGGAAGAATCCCGCCCCGCTCAGCCTCGCCTCTGGCACCGCCTTCCGCGGCCCCTCACGCCGCCAAACCCCCAGAAGAAGAAGAAAAACGCAGCCGGTCTGGCTCCCCCCTCCCCCTCAGGTTGCGCCTTTCTTTGGCCTCAGAGAAGTACCTGAGCCCCACCTTTGGGTGCGAAGGGGTCGAGGGCCGCCTCAGGGACCGCCAAATCTTGGCTAGCTCGGAGGCGAAGGAGCGGGGTATTGTGGAGATGGCCCGGGCCCACCTTGAACTTTTGGGGCATGAGGTAGATTATAGCTACCTAACACTTTTCTTCCCTCAGGACATTTAATTCGGACCGGATTCTTCTTCTTCTTTTTTCCCCACGTTCACTTCATAACGGTGAATAGCTTTTCTGTTCATTTCACAACCCATGCACACAATTCAGCCGGCCTGGCTCCTTAGATTTTTGCATCCTGCCATCAAAGGAAGCTCAAGATAAAAGAGTCCATCCTGGGGGGAATCTGTAGGTAACAGACAAGTGAACTGCAAGTTGTTACTTCAAACAAGACACATGGAATCTTCTGAAATAGAAACAATTCAAAAGAATGAGACCTAAAATAAAAGTGGTTGTAACAGGATGGCCTTCCACAATTAACATTAACCATCTTAATAACTTGGAGCTTAAGGGAGGGGGGATGTTAAGCGTGCATGCATTTGGGCGTTGGCGTTGAGTTCTAGCGACTGCATGCAAAGGTCCCTGTGGGTTTCTTGGCAAGATTTTTGGAAGTGGCTTGGCTTTATCTTCTTCCCCAGATTGAGAGACAGTGATGGAGGGACGGACAGATGGATGGAAGGAAGGAAGGAAGGAAGGAAGGAAGGAAGGAAGGAAGGAAGGAAGGGTCCTTACTGTGAAATAATGGCATTATAAAAGTGCAGTGCAACTGGCTCTTTTTCTTTTTATGCCTGCCAGTGAGTTTTGTGCACCAATCAATTATATCCACTTGTACTTGTACTTTCTTGTACTTTCCCACTAAATGAGTTAGGACCAAGATTCTCCATCAATGGTTGACAGTTATCTCTCTGACTCTATGTGCCCATGCTATAATCACAACCAAGGATATTACACCAATCAATTACTTCTGTAGTGAACAAAAACTTGGATGTGAGATTTTAACACTAGTGGCGGACAAAAAAGGAACAAGAGCTTTCCCATTCAAAGAATGGCAGGCTTGGCTGTTTGATTATTTAAATTGTACAACATGGTTTCTGTCTTAGAAATTAACCTTAATAATAATACTTTAAAATATTTTAACTATGTTTTCTAGAAGGTGTTTATCTGTACCATATTCTTCAAAATCCAATTTCACTATATTTTCGTATCTTTCAACTCTATATAGATATTTGATATATCAAAGCAATTGACTGGAGATTACACACACACACACACACACACACATAAATAAAAAAATTGTTTATTTCTGGTGAGGTTAGGGAAAAAAAGAATGAATGGGTCAACTTGTCATGTCTCTAGACCGCATAGCCATCAACTTACACTATTATTTTTCTTTTTGTATTTTAGCATTTTAATTGCCAGAAAAAAAACATAGGATGTGAGAGTCTTGTCTGTCACAGACAAGCATTGGGATCAATTGCAGGTGTAATGCTCCCTAAAAGAATGGTAGGAGCATAAGGAACTACCAAGCCATTATCTCAATTAGAAATTAGAAGTTGGGGGCAGAGTATAAAATTTCAGAGGACTTGGAGGAGAGAAGGTTGAAGACCTCTGGTCATCTACTCTTACAGGGTCATCTGTTCTGCCAGAAGCTGAGTAATATTTCAAAATCAACTCTTTAATTAGAAATAGTTAATACATTTTATTTTGTTCTCCTATTGTAGAGCTTTGATTTGAACTGTCTATGGATATTCATTATTATTCACATTTAGCTTTAATCTTCCAGTTTTGTAATGGAATGCATGGATGACCTTGAGGAATGGGGAGAAGAGATAGTGCCTAGGAAATGATCAGACAAGAGGGGCAGGGGCCGGCAGTCACTGAATGATCAGGAAAAAAAAATAAAACCCACCCTAATGGATCAAGTAATTAAAAGCGGAAGGTAGAAAGTTTGTATTTTCTAATCAAAATGTTCATGTAGCCTTACAATAAAGTACATTTAGTTCATCTGATTATGTTTTCTGTCTTGTCTACCCAAGAGGGGTGACAAATTTTCACTCTTTAAACATTTAGTTAGCAATATAGTATTTAATTTTCCTATTATAGATATTGCCCTCCATTTTGTATTCAAGTTTCCTGAATGAATTGTTTCCTTGGTCTCCTTCCTTATGAATAGCCTTTTTGCCTCTTTCTTTATAGGTTCTGTAACTCTTTTATCAACCTGTACCAATACCTTAATTAAGTCTATTGTATACCTATGTACTTCTCTTTTTCCTTAAAACTTTTCAGCACTAGAATGCTTTTGCATCTAAAAACCAATTCTCCTTTCAAACATTTGAGTACTCTAGGTCACATCTGTTCACCTTGGTTTCTTTTTTTCTGATTCACTTTTTTCCTGCTTAATTAATTTTTTAGAAAAGCTTCTTAAATTTTTGTACAACATCTAGGATGTGGAGGTGGATGAGATAGAGAAATAATAGTAATTTAAGCTCCTTGAAATCATGAATTTGTATTAAAATACATATTCATAAAGGTGACCCAAATGAAAACTTCCAGTGAGGACATGGTAAGGTAGACATCCCTGAAGGATCAGGAATGATATTTGAATGTAGATGGTGACCAGAGAATGGATCCTGGCCAGCAAAAGCTTTCCAGAGAAAGGAGAGGTTATGAGATTATCCATATATATAGTACTTTGGACAGCAGCTCCTCCATAGAAGACTGCAGGAACCAAGATTTTTGTGGTTCGCTAAGTTAAGATCATTTTCTCTGTTTCATGCAAAAGTATAAAATGGGTTTCCAGTCAGCAATAAATGTAGATACTGTCTGTTTTCTAATTAGTCAATTTAACCATCTCTGCCAGTTCCATCATCTTCATCAATCATTGTGGTAGTGCTAAAACTTTCTACTTTTGTGCATATGTCTTGCTGCAGTTATCATATATAAAAACAAAGTTCCATGACTTTTTCCAGCTATTTATTTCCATCAATCTCAGAAGAAAAGCATCCAGTTTCAATTGAAAGATTCTTCATCCTTTAAGATCTTCTGAATTAGTGTATATATTTGTATGCACGCATTAAAGAACACAAGAACTCAGTCAGAAAAGAGGAACCAACTTCTTCCCTGCTCCAACACCTTAAAGCCACAGAACATGAAATTGACTTTAAAAAGACCAGAACTATCGCCAAAACTGAACACTTTAACAACAGAATAATCAGAGAAGCCATTGAGATAGAAAAACGCCCACGCAGCATGAATAAACGAGATGATACCTCCCGCTTACCAGCCATTTGGAAACCCACCCTTATTGACAAACGAGTCCCTAACACAAAGAATGACACCAGACCCACACTCACGAAAACCACATAGGATGTCACCACCACACATCCATGCAAAAAGCAAACTCAAACCCATACCAATGATGAGGCACGACCACAAACCAGAAGCCAGACCACAGCTGCATCATTAGCCACTTTAAACCCCTCCAATCCATACATGAAACAAACTGACACCAATGGATTCCAAAGAAATAAGATCACCAACCTAATCCAAAAAGAAACCCCCACTAAAATCCAAGACAGAGAACAAGAAAATGGCAAGGCCCTCCTCCCATACATAAAAGGCACCACAGACAGAATAAGCAAAATCCTCCACAAACATAACATCAAGACAGCATTCTGCACAAACCAAAAAATATCCACCATCCTAAGGAACCCCAAAGACAAAATTGAGTTAGAAAATCAAGGAGTATATGAAATCCCATGCACCGCCTGCCCCACCACATACATCGGACAAACCAACAGACGAATAAGTGCATGCATAGAAGAACACAAGAACTCAGTCAGAAAAGAGGAACCAACTTCTTCCCTGGTCCAGCACCTTAAAGCCACAGGACATGATATTGACTTTAAAAAGACCAGAACTATCGCCAAAACTGAACACTTTAACAACAGAATAATCAGAGAAGCCATCGAGATAGAAAAACGCCCACACAGCATGAACAAACGAGACAATACCTCCCGCCTACCAGCCATTTGGAAACCCGCCCTTATTGACAAACGAGTCCCTAACACGACGAATGACACCAGACCCACACTCACGAGTGCCACACCTGATGTCACCATCACACATCCACGCAGAAAGCAGACTCAAACCCACACTGATAATGAGTCACGACCAAGGACCAGAAGCCAGACCGCAGCTGCATCATTAGCCACTTTAAACCCCTCCAATCCATACATGAAGCAGACTGACACCCACCATGAAGAGCTCGCACGGCCACAAACACGAAGCCAAACAACAACAACGCAGCTCACCAGCTCAAATCCCCCTGCAACTCAGGCTAAGCTGAGCACAACCAAGCCCCCACCCAAACAGAACACACCCCCAGCCAATCAGAGCACAGCCAAGCCCCTAACCAATCAGAACACACCTCCACCCAATCAGAACACAGCCAAGTTCCCACCCAATCAGCTCACAGCCCCACTAGCAGTTAAAAGGAAGAGACAGCTGCGATCTCACATTGCTCCTGGAAGCACGAAGCCGAGAACACCAGCCTGAAGATGACGAATGAGACTTCGTCGAAACGTCGCCAAGACACTTCCAATTTTACGTGGGAGAAGACCCGAATAACCAAAGACCTACATACAAACACCCGCAAGATTTTTTTTCTACAGCCCTAGCTCAGTAAAGTCACATCCATTCGATTCTGGGCTTTTTTTTTTTTTTCTGGCAGCCAGCAGGCCCTATGCTGCCTAGTGAGAGACTTATATAGATCTATTTCTGGCTCGTTAGCCATCATCAGTAAGCCACACCCACATCTCATGTATCCTCCCTGTAAAGGTACAATATCGATTTTCTTACTTTTTTCTTCCTTTTCATAGGTTTTATGTGTGTTTTTCTTTTAGCCAGGTTTCTCCTACGTAACCAAGATTTTTCTTTCTACAGCCCTAGCTCAGTGGAGTCACATCCACTCGATTCTGGGCTTCAATTCTGGCTAAAACCTGGCTAAAAGAAAAACACACATAAAACCTACGAAAAGGAAGAAAAAAGTAAGAAAATAGATATTGTACCTTTACAGGGAGGATACATGAGATGTGGGTGTGGCTTACTGATGATGGCTAACGAGCCAGAAATAGATCTATGTAAGTCTCTCACTAGGCAGCATAGGGCAGCATAGGGCCTGCTGGCTGCCAGAAGGAAAAAAAAAAAAAAGCCCAGCAAGTTAGCTTGTAGGCAGCACAGTCTTCAAGAACTATTATTTTATCTGAGGTTCATTTCCCCCCTAGGCCAATATATTATATTTATGTAACGGGGCAAAAGCTAGTTGAATAACATCAGACTTATATTTCAATAGCGATACATACAATTGCACAATCTAATGTTTAATTCATAACCCATCTCTGTTTATGGGATGGATGTTCATATGAAATTC